TAAACATAGTGTATATGCCACACAATTAATTTTATAGGAAGTTTGCTGAAGCCTAGATAAATGGACAATTAGCCCCTCTTCTGAGAACAGATCTATTATCATAATCACTAATGAAAACGATATTCGCATGCATACATAAGACAAAAATGGCCCCTCCCTCTCTCTTAGGTATTTGTTATAGAAGCCAAAAGCTCAATCTGTACCATCTAGTAGGAGTAGTTCACTTCATTTTTTTTTCTTTCCCTTAGAGTGATAATCATGTTTTCTCATGGAGCTCTCTTATCTTATCTATATTTAGTTCTCCAGCTTCTCTTATTTGAAATCTAAAGCTTGTGTTTAACACTGGAATATACATATATTTTAAAGATTTTATTTATTTATTCATGAGAGAGACAGAAAGAGAGGCAGAGACACAGGCAGAGGGAGGAGAAGCAGGCTCCAAGCAAGGAGCCCGATGTGGGACTCGATCCCGGAAATCCGGGATCGGGCCCTGAGCCAAAGGCAGACGCTCAACTGCTGAGCCACCCAGGCTTCCCTGGAATGTATTATTAACTAGATTTCAAATAGCTAGATAAAATAAAGAGAGAACATATAGATTTCAGTAGGAGGCTTTAGGAGGCTTTAAAATCATAAATAGATCAATTATTTAAAATGTGTCTATACATTTATAGCTTAAATATCTTTGAATGAAAAATAAGAAGAATGACATATGTGGAGATGGTGCATACTTCGATAATTGCTATAGACAATAGCATGGATGGATAAAATATAGAAAAGATAAAAATGCACAGCTGATCTTAGGTGGAATACAAGCTTCTGCATGGATCAGACACAGGAAAGAAAAGCCTGAGTATGAGTAGAGTTAAATGTTGCTGGGCTCCTGCTCTAGTAATAGGCAGTGATAGACAAGAATTTAGGCCCTTTTGAATAAGATAGCTAACATGCTCCAAGTATGAAGGAGTATTAAGACTAACTCAAAGCTTAAAATCAAGGACTGGAAATAAGGGGCAGAACACTTCATCTTGACTCATGAAAGGAAGCTACAAAAATGTTACCTGAAAACATATTCCCAGCAAGATACAGGCCTTAGGAAATAGGAGAATATAGAAACAGCCTCATGACACAGGAATAAATCAAGTTGTCCATTTGTTTGATAAAAGGATCTGCCAAGTCTCCAATATTACCACAGGACAGAACTTCTGAAATGACACTAATAAGGCCTCGTTCTGGAATAGGGACCTGTAGGGCTGGGTGGAGACCAGTATAAAAATCTAGATGGGGAGGAGGGAGGGGCAAGATGGCGGAAGAGCAGGGTCCCCAAATCACCTGTCCCCACCAAGTTACCTAGATAACCTTCAAACCATCCTGAAAATCTACGAATTCAGCCTGAGATGTAAAGAGAGACCAGCTGGAACGCTACAGTGAGAAGAGTCCGCGCTTCTATCAAGGTCGGAAGACGGGGAAAGAGAAATAAAGGAACAAAAGGCCTCCGAGGGGGAGGGGCCCCGCGAGGAGCCGGGCTGAGGCCGGGGCGAGTGTCCCCAGGACAGGAGAGCCCCGTCCCGGAGGAGCAGGAGCTGCACCAACCTTCCCGGGCGGGCGGAAAGGGGCTCGCAGGGAGTTGGAGCAGGACCCAGGAGGGCGGGGATGCCCTCGGGCTCCCGGGGACACTAACAGACACCTGCGAGCGCAGGAGAGTGCTCCGAGCTCCCTAAGGGCTGCAGCGCGCAGCGCACGGGGGCACCGGAGCAGCTCGGAGGGGCTCGGGAGCGGCTCCAGGGAGGGAGCTGCAGGGCGGGAGCGCGAATCCCACAGCGCAGGCCCCGGAGCACAGGGCGCCGGGACACAGCCCAGGATCCGGCCTCCCCCGGGACAGGCAGAGGCCGGGAGGGCCCAGGACAGCGAGGACGCTCCTGCCCCGAGCTGAGCAGATCAGCGGGCCCGCCGGGGAGCCTCCAGGCCCTGCGGACGGAGAGCCGAGAGCCCCGAGCCCCGTAGTTCCTGCGGAGGCTGAATCCAGGCTTCCAGAGTTGCCATAGCAACTGCGGCTGTTCCTCCTGGGGCCTGACGGGGTAAACAACCCCCGCTGAGCCCTGCAGCAGGCAGGGGCAGAGCAGCTCCCCCAAGTGCTAACACCTGAGAATCAGCACAGCAGGCCCCTCCCCCAGAAGACCAGCTGGACGGACCAGTGATACTCCCCCGTGTTCCAATACAACTTGTTTCTGGCCACTCTGCACTGAGCAAAATGACTAGAAGGAAAACCTCAACTCAAAAGAAAGAATCAGAAACAGTCCTCTCTCCCACAGAGTTACAAAATCTGGATTACACTTCAATGTCAGAAAGCCAATTCAGAAGCACCATTATACAGCTACTGGTGGCTCTAGAAAAAAGCATTAAGGCCTCACGAGACTTCATGACTGCAGAATTTAGATCCAATCAGGCAGAAATTAAAAATCAATTGAATGAGATGCAATCCAAACTAGAAGTCCTAATGACGAGGGTTAACGTGGTGGAAGAACGAGTGAGTGACATAGAAGACAAGTTGATGGCAAAGAGGGAAACTGAGGAAAAAAGAGACAGACAATTAAGGGACCATGAAGACAGATTAAGGCAAATAAATGACAGTCTGAGGAAGAAAAACCTACGTTTAATTGGGGTTCCCGAGGGCGCCGAAAGGGACAGAGGGCCAGAATATGTATTTGAACAAATCCTAGCTGAAAACTTTCCCAATCTGGGAAGGGAAACAGGCATTCAGATCCAGGAAATAGAGAGATCCCCCCCTAAAATCAATAAAAACCGTTCAACACCTCGACATCTAATAGTGAAGCTTGCAAATTCCAAAGATAAAGAGAAGATCCTTAAAGCAGCAAGAGACAAGAAGTCCCTGACTTTCATGGGGAGGAATATTAGGGTAACAGCAGACCTCTCCACAGAGACGTGGCAGGCCAGAAAGGGCTGGCAGGATATATTCAGGGTCCTAAATGAGAAGAACATGCAACCAAGAATACTTTATCCAGCAAGGCTCTCATTCAAAATGGAAGGAGAGATAAAGAGCTTCCAAGACAGGCAGGAACTGAAAGAATATGTGACCTCCAAACCAGCTCTGCAAGAAATTTTAAGGGGGACTCTTAAAACTCCCCTTTAAGAAGAAGTTCAAGTAACTCTGAACGTGAATGGGCTTAATGACCCCATCAAAAGGCACAGAGTTTCAGACTGGATAAAAAAGCAGGACCCATCTATTTGCTGTCTACAAGAGACTCATTTTAGACAGAAGGACACCTACAACCTGAAAATAAAAGGTTGGAGAACCATTTACCATTCAAATGGTTCTCAAAATATACCCTAAAAACTACAGAACACTTCTGAAAGAAATTGAGGAAGACACAAAGAGATGGAAAAATATTCCATGCTCATGGATTGGCAGAATTAATATTGTGAAAATGTCAATGTTACCCAGGGCAATTTACACGTATAATGCAATCCCTATCAAAATACCATGGACTTTCTTCAGAGACTTAGAACAAATTATTTTAAGATTTGTGTGGAATCAGAAAAGACCCCAAACAGCCAGGGGAATTTTAAAAAAAGAAAACCATATCTGGGGGCATCACAATGCCAGATTTCAGGTTGTACTACAAAGCTGTGTTCATCAAGACAGTGTGGTACTGGCACAAAAACAGACATATAGATCAATGGAACAGAACAGAGAACCCAGAAGTGGACCCTGAACTTTATGCTCAACTAATATACGATAAAGGAGGAAAGACGATCCACTAGAAGAAAGACAGTCTCTTCAATAAATGGTGCTGGGAAAATTGGACATCCACATGCAGAAGAATGAAACTGGACCACTCTCATGCACCATACACAAAGATAAACTCAAAATGGATGAAAGATCTAAATGTGAGACAAGATTCCATCAAAATCCCAGAGGAGAACTCAGGCAACACCCTTTTTGAACTTGGCCACAGTAACCGGAGAAGGACAAACAGTGTATGTTCTCATTCATTTGGGGAATATGAATAATAGCGAAAGGGAATATAAGGGAAGGGAGAAGAAATGTGTGAGAAATATCAGAAAGGGAGACAGAACATAAATACTTCTAACTCTGGGAAATGAACTAGGGGTGGTGGAGGGGGAGGGGGGCGGGGGGTGGGGGTGAATGGGTGACGGGCACTGAGGGGTACACTTGACGGGATGAGCACTGGGTGTTATTCTGTATGTTGGTAAATTGAACACCAATAAAAATTAATTTATAAAAAAAAATCTAGATGGGGGGCAGCTTGGGGGGCTCAGTGGTTTAGCACTGCCTTCAGCAGGGCCTGATCCTGTAGACCCAGGATCGAGACCCACGTTGGGCTCCCTGCATGTAGCCTGCTTCTCCCTCTGCCTGTGTCTTTGTCTCTCTGTCTCTGTCTCTCTCTTTCTCTGTGTTTCTCATGAATAAATAAATGAAATAAAAAAATCTAGATGGGAAGAGATGAAAGTAGAGACAGAACAAACAGGCATGTCCCTGTTTTCTTTTTTTTTTTAAGAATTTATTTATTTATTTATTTATTTATTTATTTATTTATTTATTATGAGTGTGAGCCAGGAGAGGAGCAGAAGGGGAGGGACAGAGTCTCCAGCAGACTCTGCATTCCACATGGAGCCTGGGGTGAGTCTCAATCCCAGGACCCTGAGATCATGACCTGAGCCAAAACCAAGAGTCCAAGAGGCACATCACTTTTAAGGCCACTTGCGTAACAGTAAGAGGAGATACCTCCTTCATTTTTGTGCCCTAGCTACCTAACTTTCCTTCACTAGGCCCAGCTAGGAATCTGTGAGCCCATGCAAATATGAATGAAGCATAAATAAATAAGTTAATAAGAGTGCTTTCTTACAAAAAATGTTAGTAAAGATAGAAGGAATAATAGAGGCCTCTGAGCACATGAACTCTGAGATCAGAGACCCCGGTGAAACTGAACCTCTGTTAAGCTGAAGAGGCAAAAACTCTCCAGATGTCTTCTAATAATGACCAAGTTTGTATCCCAATGTCACAAAGAAGCACCAATGACCTCTCCAGGATGACCTCCAACGACCTGAAGACATTTACTGAAGTAGCCATGTTAAGTTTTCATAACATTTACTATCGAGTAAAAGTGAAGAGTGCCTTTCTTCTTGGTCGAAAAACAGTTGAGAAAGAAATACTAACAAATATCAATGGTGTCATGAGACCTGGCCTCAATGCCATTCTGGAACCCACAGGTGGAGGCAAATCTTCACTGTTAGATGTCTTAGCTGCAAAGGAAAGATCCTCATGGATTATCTGGGGATGTTTTGATAAATGGAGCACCTCGACCTGCCAATTTCAAATGTAATTCAGGTTATGTGGTACAAGATGATGTCGTGATGGGAACAGTGAGAGAAAATTTACAATTCTCAGCAGCTCTTTGGCTTCCAACAACTATGACGAGTCATGAAAAAAATGAGCGAATTAAAAAGGTCATTCAGCAATTAGGTCTGGATAAAGTGGCAGATTCCAAGGTTGGAACTCAGTTTATACATGGCATGTCTAGAGGAGAAAGAAAAAGAACTAGTATCGGAATGGAGCTTATTACTGATCCAGCCATCTTGTTCCTGGATGAGCCCACAACTGGCTTAGACTCAAGCACAGCAAATGCTGTGCTTTTGCTCCTGAAGAGGATGTCTGAACCGGGACAAGCAATCATCTTCTCCATTCATCAGCCTCGTTATTCTATCTTCAAGTTGTTTGATAGCCTCGCCTTGTTGGCTGCAGGAAAACTGATGTTCCATGGGTCTGCCCAGGAGGCCTTGGGGTTCTTTGCATCAGTGGGTTACCATTGTGAGCCCTATAATAACCCTGCAGACTTCTTTCTGGATGTCATTAATGGAGACTCCTCTGCTGTGGTATTAAACAGAGAGGACCAAGAGGGTAAAGTCAAGGTGACTGAAGAGCCTTCCAAGAGAGGTACTCCACTCATAGAAAGAATAGCTGAGTTTTATGCCAATTCTGACTTCTGCAGAAAAACAAAAGAGGAGTCAGATCAACTCTCAAAGAGTCAGAAAAGGAAGCGCTCAGCCTTTAAGGAGATCATATATGCCACCTCCTTCTGTCAGCAACTCAAATGGATTTCCAAGTGTTCATTCAAAAATTTACTGGGTCAACAAAACTAAAAGACAACCTACAGAATGGGAGAATATATTTGCAAATGACGTATCAGATAAAGGGCTAGTATCCAAGATCTATAAAGAACTTATTAAACTCAACACCAAAGAAACAAACAATCCAATCATGAAATGGGCAAAAGACATGAACAGAAATCTCACAGAGGAAGACAAAGACATGGCCAACATGCACATGAGAAAATGCTCTGCATCACTTGCCATCAGGGAAATACAAATCAAAAACCGCAATGAGATACCACCTCACACCAGTGAGAATGGGGAAAATTAACAAGGCAGGAAACCACAAATGTTGGAGAGGATGCGGAGAAAAGGGAACCCTCTTACACTGTTGGTGGGACTGTGAACTGGTGCAGCCGCTCTGGGAAACTGTGTGGAGGTTCCTCAAAGAGTTAAAAATAGACCTGCCCTATGACCCAGCAATTGCACTGTTGGGGATTTACCCCAAAGATACAGATGCAATGAAACGCCGGGACACCTGCACCCCGATGTTTATAGCAGCAATGTCCACAACAGCCACACTGTGGAAGGAGCCTCGGTGTCCATCGAAAGATGAATGGATAAAGAAGATGTGGTCTATGTATACCATGGAATAGTCCTTAGCCATTAGAAATGACAAATACCCACCATTTGCTTCAACGTGGATGGAACTGGAGGGTATTATGCTGAGTGAAGTAAGTCAATCGGAGAAGGACAAACATTATACGTTCTCATTCATTTGGGGAATATAAATAATAGTGAAAGGGAATATAAGGGAAGGGAGAAGAAATGTGTGGGAAATATCAGAAAGGGAGGCCTAAAGACTCCTAACTGGGAAATGAACTAGGGGTGGTGGAAGGGGAAGAGGGCGGGGGGTGGGGGTGAATGGGTGACGGGCACGGAGGGGGACACATGACAGGATGAGCACTGGGTGTTATTCTGTATGTTGGCAAATTGAAGACCAATAAAAATAAATTTATTATAAAAAAAGCAAACAAAAACAAAAACAAAAACAAAAATTTACTAGGTAATTCCCAGGCCTCTATCGCTCAGATAACTGTAACAGTCATCCTGGGATTGGTTTTAGGTGCCATTTTCTATGATCTAAAAAATGATTCCACAGGAATCCAGAATAGATCAGGGGTGCTCTTATTCCTGATGACCAACCAGTGTTTCAGCAGTGTGTCAGCTGTGGAGCTCCTTGTGGTTGAGAAGAAGCTCTTTATACATGAATATATCAGTGGATATTACAGAGTGTCATCTTATTTCTTTGGAAAAGTGTTATCTGATTTACCACCCATGAGGATGTTACAAAGTATTATATTTACTTGTATAATATACTTCTTGTTAGGATTGAAACCAGTTGTGGAGGCCTTCTTCGTCATGATGTTTACTCTTATGATGGTGGCTTATTCAGCTAGTTCTATGGCACTGGCCATAGCAGCAGGCCAGAGGTGGTATCCATAGCAACTCTCCTCATGACCATCACCTTTGTGTTTATGATGCTATTTTCAGGGCTGTTGGTAAATCTCAGAACCATTGGGCCTTGGCTCTCATGGCTTCGGTACTTAAGCATTCCTTGATCTGGTTATGCGGCTTTGCAGTATAATGAATTTTTGGGACAAAACTTCTGCCCAGGAGTCAACGTAACAACGAACAATACCTGTAGCTATGCAATATATTCTGGCAAAGGATTTTTGCTAACCCAGGGCATCGAGCTCTCCCCTTGGGGCCTGTGGAAGAATCACGTAGCCTTGGGATGCATGATTGTTATCTTCCTTACAATTGCCTACCTAAAATTGTTATTTCTTAAAAAAATATTCTTAAATTCCTCTTTAATTTACATAATTGATTCACACATTAAAAAGGGAGCATCTTGATTTAAGTAAAAAAAAAGGAATAATAGAAAACCACCATTTGGTAATTGTCAATGGATGACAAAACTATTGGGTTACATTTTGATGAGGATATTTACATGATTTGAAAGGATCTCCTCTACAAGGTACTTTGTAATAACAAAGGGGCAAATAGTAACTTTATAGTGAAGAAACCAGAAGACATCATAACTAAGTGATCAAAATTAGCATCCCCAAGTAATGGGACACATAGGTAATTGTGTGTATCTTGGTTAGACGCGATAGGAGGGGTGTATCATTTTTGAACTAGCTCTGCCAAAATTATATAACCTGAATTGAATCACAAAGAAAAATAAAATCCTAATTGATGGACATTCTACAAAATAAATTTGTGGAATTTGGGATGTAGAACATAAGAATTGCTTTTACTGTCAGTATTAAATTATTTGAAAATGAAACAAAAATCTATATGACAATAAAAGTACTATACTACCAAAAATAGTTTTATCTTGCTAAAATGATAATTAAAGGTAATTTTACAATCTTTACTACTTTTAATAGAAAACTAAAAATAAATGAATTAAGTATTCAACTTAAAAAAGAAAAATAAACTGGAAATATGGAAATTGTAAAGAGCAGAAATTAATGAGTTTGGTAAAAGACAAATAAAATGACAGGATCAATAGAAAATTGGTTCTTTGGGGAAAAAAGAATGAGTACAACGAGAAATATCAACAACAGCAAAGAAAAGACTGTATTGGGGGAAAAAGAATACAACAATTATGTAGATAAATTAGAGATTTCAGTGATCATAAGATATAATAAACCTTGTGCCCATAAACATGAAAACATAAAAGAGTATTTTCTTAAGAGGGGCGTCTGGGTGGCTCAGTCCATTAAATATCTGCCTTCAGCTCAGGCCATGATCCCAGAGTCCTGGGATCGATTTCTGCATCAGGCTCCCTGCTTGGTGGGGAGTCTGCTTCTCCCTCTCCCTCTGTTGCTCTTCCCTGCTTGTGCTTCTCTCTTTCTCTGTCAAATAAATAAATGAAATCTATTTAAAAAATAATTTTTCTTAGAAAAGGTATCAAAAATGACTCAAGGTAAACACAAACTTCTATAAATCAATACACTGAATTGATAGTCAAAAATTTTCTACCTTAAAAGACATTAGGCTCAGGGAGTTTTACAGAAAAATGTTACCAAGTCTTTTGGGGTCAGATAACTACTCTTTTACAAACTGTTATAGAGAATAGAAAAAACAGGGGAGAAATATCTAAAAGATTTTGGAAGAACTAAGCAGAGGCTCCTGCTCTACCTGCGATTAAAACTTTCTATAAAGCTATAGTAATTAAGACACTGTGTCATGGTGCCGGGAGGGATGAAAACACTGATAAACTAGAGTAGAGAGACCAGTAATATACTCATTGTCTATGGAACCTGGATATGTGTGAGGTGGGATATATCAAGTCAGTTGGGGGAGGAAGGATCATTCACTATGTGGTTCTACTAGAATTGGGGATGACATGCGACCAAATAAAATTAAAACTCAGGGTGCCTGGGTGGCTCAGTTGGTTGAGCTTCAGATTGATTTCAGCTGGGGGTCATGATCTCAGGGTCAGGTTCCACACTCAGTGTGGAGTCTGCTTGCCTCTCTCCCTCCCCCTCTACTTACCCCCCATATACACTCAAGCACACTCCACACTCTCTCAAAATAAATAAAATCTTAAAAAAAAGAAATGAGGAGAACATTTAAAAATATTAAATATCTGTTAATCATAATATGAAACCAAACACAGACCATCTTTATCATTATAGGACAGGAAAGTTTTCTTAAATAAATCAAAAACAAATCATAAAGAGAACAACTAATAAGTTTGATTCTGTAAAAAAAATTCTGCAGAGACACCATTGAATATCTTGAAACCATAATGTTGAGTGAAAAAACCATGTTACCTCATGGTGCAATATAATTCCATTTGTTAAATGTTGAAAAATACACTCATGGTATACATTGTTCATGTATGTATATATGTATTACAAAACAATTTTTTAAATGAAGGGAACTTTAATACTGAATTCCTAACAAGAAAAGTGGGGAATTGGATTGTGAAGAATACAATGGGGTTCTCAACTTTATCTGAAATGTTTTCTTTTTTATTGAGATATGATTGACATATAACATTATTGGTTTCAGGTGTACACCATAATGATTTGGTATATATATATATATATACAGAAATGATCACAGTAAGTCTACTTTGCATCTAATACCATACATAGTGACAAATTTTTTTCTTGTGAATAAGTTTTTTTAAGATATACAGTACAGTATTATTAACTATAGTCACAACGCTGACATTATATCCTATGATTAATTTTTTTGTAACTAGAAGTTTGTACATTTTGACCCTCTTCATGCATTTTGCTCATCCCACTCCCTTTGCTCTGGCAACCACCACTCTATTTTAGGAATTGTTTTTTCTTTTTTTTTTTTATTCCACATATGAGTTCATAAATATTTGTCTTTGACTTATTTCACCTATTCCATCTGTGTTATCCAAATTGCAAAATTTCCTTAATTTTTATGGTGAATAATATTCCGTTGTGTATCTATCATCTATCTATCTATCTATCATCTATCTATCTATCATCTATCTATCGAGAGAGATACCACGTTTTCTTAATCCATTCATCTATCGATGGACATTTTGGTTGCTTCCATGATTTGGCTATTATACATAATACTGCAATGAACATTGGGGGTATATGCATCTTTTTGAGTTTAGTGTTTTCATTTCTGTAGGATAAGTGCCCAGAAGTGGAATTGTGGATCGTTTTGTAGTTCTATTTTTAAGTTTTTGAGGAATGCCCATATTGTTTTCCATAGCAGCTGCACTGATTTACATTCCCACTAACAGTGCATGATGATTCCCTTTTCTCCACAGCTTTGCAGACATTTGTTGTCTCTTGTCTTTTGGATGATCACCATTCTAACAGGTGTAGGATCATATCTCACTGTGGTTTTGACATGCATTTCCCTGATGGTTAGTGATGTAGAGTACTTTTTCCTGTACTTGTTGGCCATGTGTTTGTCTTCTTTGTAAAAATGTTTATTTAGATCCTCTGCCCATTTTTAAGTTAGTTTTTTTTTTTTTGGCTATTGAGTTGTATGAGTTCTTTATATATTTTGGATTTTAACCCCTTATCAGATATATGATTTGAAAATAATTTTCCCATTCAGTGAATTGCCTTTTCATTTTGTTGATGGTTTCTTGTGCTGTGCAGAAGCTTTTAAATTCAATTTGTTCCCATTTGTTTATCTTGTTTTTGTTGCCTTTGTTTTTCTTGTCACATACAAAACATCATTGTCAAGAGTGATGTCAAGAAGCTTACTGCCTCTTTTTCTTCTAGGAGTTCTATGATTTCAGGTATTAGATTCAACTCTTTAATCCATTTCAAGTTAATTTCTGTGTGTTGTAGAAGATAGTAATAGATTTTCATTCTTTTACATGTTGCAGTCCAGTTTTCCCGGCACCATTTATTAAAAAGAATGTCCTTTCCCATTGTATACTCTAGGCTCCTTTGTCATGGATTAGTTGACTGTATGTGTGGGTATATTTATGGACTATTTCTGTTTTATTGATATATGTGTCTGGTTTTTGTTTTTAAGTATTTATTTATTTTAGAGAGAGCAAGAGTAGGGGGGGCACAAGGGGAGGGAGAGGGAGAGAGATAATCTCAAGCAGACTCCTCACTGAGCACAGAACCTGATGCGGGGCCTGATCCCCTGACCCTGAGATCATAACCTGAGCTGAAATCAAGAGTCAGTCATATAACTGACTGAGCCACCCAGGGGCCCCTGATTTATGAGTCTGCTTTTATGCCAGTATCATACTGTTTTGATTACTGTAGCTTTGTTATATAGTTTAAAATTAGGAAGTGTGAGGCTCTGGCTTTGTTCTTCTTTCTCAAGATTGCTTTGGTTATTTGGGGTCTTTTGTGGTTCCATACAAATTTTAGGATTGTTTTTTCTACTTCTGTGAAAAAAATGCCATTGGAATTTTGAAGGTAGTTGCATTGAATTTGTACATTGCTTTGGGTAGTATGGACATTTTAATAATATCCAGTTCTTTCAATCCATGATCATAGAATATCTTTACATTTATTTTGTCTTCTTCAGTTTCTTTCATCAGTCTTATAGTTTTCAGTGTATAGGCCTTTCAATTCCTTGATTATATTTATTTGTAAGTATTTTATTCTTTTTGATGTTATTATAAATAGGATTGTTTTCATAATTTTAGAGTGGGCATCCATGTCTTGGTTCTAATGTTAGTGGAAAAGCTTTTAGTAAGATATTAGCTGTGAGGGGATCCCTGGGTGGCACAGCGGTTTAGCGCCTGCCTTTGGCCCAGGGCGTGATCCTGGAGACCCGGGATCGAATCCCACATCAGGCTCCCGGTGCATGGAGCCTGCTTCTCCCTCTGCCTATGTCTCTGCCTCTCTCTCTCTCTCTCTCTGTGACTATCATAAATAAATAAAAATTTAAAAAATTAAAAAAAAAGATATTAGCTGTGAGTTTTTCATATGTGACCTTTATTATGTTGACTCATGTTCTCCCTATACTCACCTTGTTGAGAATCTTTAACATAAATGGATGTTGAATTTTGTCAAATACTCTTTTGAGCATCTACTGAGAGATCATATGATTTTTATCCTTTGTTTTATGAATGTGGTGCATCAGAATGACTTGCAGATGTTGAACCATTCTTGCATCCCTGGAATAAATCCACTAGATTGTGGTGTACGATCCTTTTAATATATTGTTACATATATGTTCATCTGGGATGTTGACCTATAATTTTCTTTTTTTGTGGTGTCCTTGTTTGGTTTTGGTATCATGAAATAGTTTTTATTTCTTAAAAAAATAAGGTTTGAAACTAATATGGCTAAAATTAAGATTTGATAATGCAGAGCATAGGTAAATGGATGTTTGTTAATATCATCTCTTCACATCTATATGC